TTTTTACAAATTTACACACACATTGTAACTCTCAAATCATTCGATTATATTCTTTGTACTCATCAGAATCATCTTTGTAAATCTTATTCATCAATACAATCATAATTCATTCTCTAAGTTCTTAAGGGATTCAGCCCACGATTGTCTTCTCCCCAATCTTAACCTAACCTAAATTAGAAAGTGAGTTTTATCCCTCACAAAGAACTACTAACTAAATAATATTTTGTTTAGAAATAGACATGAAAATTTGTTTTCTTTATTCTACTTAAAGTAACATGTAAATTATTTTAAACAGAATATTTTTTCATATTATAAAGAAGACAAATAAAAATATGCACATTACTATATATAAATATTGTATAATTTTCACAATAACAAGAATGTCTTCTCTAAATAAGTAACAGATCATATAATTAAATTTTTAATACTTGTTGCTATGTAATATTTGACTAGATAATGACGAGTATTTAAAAATCAAGATTGGATACAAAATAAGTAACGAGTATAAGAAGAGTAGTGAATATTTGTGTCTAGTCCTAAATGTAAGTAGAAGAAAAGGCAAATATGAAATACTAATTAATAGATCATGTAATAAATAACAAATAATGGAATAAGTAACGGGACGGAACGAGTCAAGTATAAAGTATAATAATGATACTTGACACTTGACTTACTTTTGCAAGTAATGAAAATTGTCGCCTTGTTACTTGTCTTGACAACACCGAATACTTGAATTTTCAAGGCGGGTATAAATCAAGTATCGAATTTAAGACGAGTAACGAGAGTAATGATGCCAGCCCTAATTAGTACAAACTTAAAATACTTATCATTTATAAAAAAATACTTTTCATGTGACAACTACAGTAACCCCCATTATGCCAGATAGATGGCCAATCTTACCTTTACATTCACGAATCCATAACTTCCGCGGACGCATCCTAAATACCTAATCATCTCGGGTAAAATAGTTTTGAGAAAGAAAAAAGAATAATTAGACTAACAGTATAAATGAATAATTATAAACAGGTGGTCTCTTTATATGAAATCGTCTCTTCACAAGAAAAAAGTGAAACTTATATAGAACAATTCCACATATTTACTTATACTTACTTCTAACATTTTCTTCAGAAAAATATTTAAGATATTTTATTTCATTCTTGTATTGCAGTGTTTGAATATAGGCGGCTATATGAAGCATAGATGATAAATGGCTTGAGCTACAAGATCAAGACCAAAGTGGTCGTTCCTAGTCAAAATAGCCGACCAAGTGCGATTCGCAAGAGTTGAAAAGTCTTCAAGATTCCGGAATGTGAATGTCATATCAGTTACACATAGCAAACAGTAAATATGTTCGGTGTATATACTTCATTCCACTTGCATTCGAACAAATACTGAAGGTGCCCGAGGTATGTGTTATATCATGTGTTTTTAATAATAAAACCATATCTCCTCTGAAATTTTTCTAAATATCTCTATTATATTATATGATTGGTATCATGTCTGTTTATATTATGCAATAAGTATATCTTAACATAATATATGATACATAGAAATGTAAACATAATACATTTAAATCTGTTTCCCTTCTTGATTACTAGTTAAAAAGTTAGGAAACCAGTCTTTTCACTATGGAAAAATGTTCTCGAAGTTTTATTATAACACGAGAAACATACACACTAGATAAGAAGTGTGCATTTTCGATATAACATGGTTCTTGTTTATCCAAAATACTGTATAACATAGGTCTTGTCTCTGCTTGTGATCCCATCATTGACATGCGATAGAGATAGTTTTCCTAACATTAAATGTCTTTTTATCTTTGTCTTCTTTTTCACTACGAGTCCTTGTCCCTTTCTAATCACGAAACTCTCTAATCACCAACTTGATTTTGAAAACATAAGAAAAAAAACCATATATACGAAAGAGTTGGTGATTGTAGTACCTGAATTGCTTTGTGTGCTCGGGATTCAAACTTTTTAGTATGATTGATAATTCTTTAAATAAATAAAAATTAACACTGATTTTGAATTTCAGAGGGATTATAGATATAAGACCCAAACTTCATTGAATCTTATAGTTTAGCGTTTGATGTATTTATATATCCGACAAAAAAGCAGTTACGCACCGAACCTATAGAGTTCAACCTCGCGGACCTCCCATTGCACCACAGTCTAGGATTAACGGTCACAAGTCTCAACAAACATTTTTCATGTTCGCATATCGCTGAGTATTGGGCTTTGACTTATCGTGAGTTAATTTGGGGCTTGGCCTAGATTTGATTGTTTTTGGACTAATATTTGGATTTTGACCCAGCTCCTCTAAAGACTCTGTTGTACTCCTCGTTTCTTTCGGTATTGTGCTCACATTCTAGTTGGATTTGGGAGATAAGTGTTTTCCTGTTAAGTATTTTAAATCATGGACTCCAGAACTTGGTCTCTCTCTTTTGGACTCACGGCTAACAATACACTGACCAAAATACACTTTCTTTCTCCGTTCTAGGATTCTGAAGAGAAAATATGGATCTTGATTTGCAGTGATAGAGTTTATTTTGTTAAATAGAAGGGGATAACTATCTTTTGTTAAATTGATACAAAGTCTTTGATTAAGTCGTGAAAAAGCTTGTGCGGGGTTTCCTTTGCAGAGGGTGGCTCGACTTGTAGCATTGTTTATTGGAACGAAGAACTCAATTAGGAGACACACAAGACAAAAAAAAACTCCTGAGAAAAGACGACAAAATGGAAAACAAACTAAGAGTCTTTCTAAACCCTTAGACCACGTGTTACTTAAACCCTTAAAGCCTTAGATTCATAGATGTGTTTGTAGGTGATAATACATGGCTCATTGTCTTTGTGGTTGTATCTCTAATGAGGTCAAAAATCTTGTATTCAAGTCATGGTGAATGAGAAGTTGACGTTGAGCCAAAAAAAAAACCCTTGAACCATGTGAGTTTTGTGAGTGTTAAAATTTCAAAGGCATATAATATTTTTCACTCTGCTTTGATTTTTTTTTTAAAATTTGTAGTAAACTAGGTGTTTTCCTGCACCATGTGCAGAAATATTTTTTTTTTTGAAAATTTAAATCCTATTTATCAGTAAATATTTGTACAGTATTTTAATTTTAATTGAATTATATATAAAATTTAAGATGAAATATAATATTATTTAAATATAGATTTAATAATATATATGGATATATTTGAAACTATAATCTAATAATTATTTTTATCTATTTCTTTTGGTTAAAATATATTAAATAAATTCTAGAAAATTTATTATTTTGATAGGTATATAATTATCAAAACATAAAACTAAATAATATTTCTAAAATTTGTGGATATTTAAAAGAAACTCATAGTAATGGAATTATAATTTTTTAAAAACATTTCATAATTTTTTGAAGTTTGTTTTAGTAGTAAAAAATTAAAAACTGTAAAATTATAAAAATAAGTTTAAGAAGAAAAATTTAAAATGTTATTTCATTTTATTTTACTATTATATTATTTATTTTTATATTAGTGATGATTTATGAATTATTATCATATTTTAGAAACTTACCAAAAATATAAAATAACAATTAATGTAAATGTTCATGTCATATTTGTTAGTATATCATATCATATTTTTCTTTCAAAATCACTTCTCATATAATAATTAAGGGATTTCACATTTTTTTGAAGTTTGTTTTAGTAATAAAAATTATAAAATTTAAGAATTTTTTTTAAAATATTATTGTATTTTATTTTAATATTATATTATTTATTGTTATATTAATGATGATGTATGAATTATTATCATATTTTAGAAACTTACTAAAAATATAAAATAAGAATTAATGTAAATATCCATGTCATAATTATCACCAAGCCATGTCATATTTGTTAGTATTTCATGTTATCTTTGTCTTTCAAAATCACTTCTCAAATTAATAACTAAGGGATTAGGTTCTTAATTAATTAGAATTATGTTTATGTTGTTTTTCTACTTGTAGTCGCTTTCTTAGTACTTCAATTGAAGTAAAAAGCTGTAGCGTATTAATTCTACGTTTGATACTACAAATTAATACACAAACCAGGAACACATAACAGAAGGCAAAACATTTGATCGAGAACTGATACCAAATAGCTGTCTAATTAACCTAAAAACGAAGGTAAAAGACAAAGTGAGAAATGCCTAAATAAAGCAACGGAGTTTGTGAAGTTCAGTTTGCTTTGGCTTTGGAAGTAGAGGGCTTGTCATCTTCCTTCTCCTTTTCCTCCTTGCTCTTATCTGCCTCGTCGAGGTTGTCAATAGCATACTTCAATCCAATGTAATAGAGAAACGCGCCGATTAAAGTCAAGTTCTGCGAGTCAATAACAATCTTTGTTGATCATATAAGACCAATATGTATGGTTTTACGCGGTGGCCAAGCTAATTATTAACCTGAGTGAAGTCGTTCAAGCTGGTAGGGAAAGGAATAATAGTTGAGAGGATTTGCGTTGCAAGCTGCATCAAGTGAACATGTAGTGAGATTAAAATCTTGCGCAAAAAGATTCAAAATAGAAATATATGGTTGTACCAAGAAGTAAGCTGGGATGGATTGTCCAAAGATGAACCACAAAGCTGCAGTTCCCTTTGCGGTTATGAGCAAAATTTAACATCGAATGCGACCACTTGCATCCCGGTGTAGAAAGTGAGAACCTTAGAGCCATATTTGGTCATCACATTTACTACTGGTCCAACCGTTTTCTCGAGCGGCCCACCACCACCACCAAAAGGATCAGCATAACTAACATAGATCGTGTATCAAGCCTTGTGATATAGAAGAAAGCTAAATGACTCGAGAATGAACTATAGTATTCTTACTCTTGGACAGCAGAGATGATAAAGACAAGGGCAAATGCCATTCTACCAAAAATGCAATTGCTGGCATTGACCTTGTTAAGGTTGTGCACATCATGTTCTTGACGTTTGACATCCTCGTATTGTGTTCTTGATGTCAATTTTAGCTATGAATCTGATTATGATTGTGGTAAAAACACGAAAACCGTCAAATCATCATGGAGAGGATAAAGAAGTATCTTGATGAGAATCATTTGTTAAGCCAAGAACTCAAGAAACATAATGGTTTTTTTTTTCTTAGAAAGCAGGACAGTAAATGATTGTATGATTTATCTTTTTAATATAAGAAACACGAACTGGTATGTTGATTAGGGGGCAGAGATACTTACTTGTTCCAAAAGTAAAAAAGTTTGATGAATATGTAGCGTACGAAGAAGAAGTAACTAAATAGAAGATTCGTACACTGAGAAGAAAATGGAAGCAACAACTGACAAGGATGAGTTGGTTTAGACATTTAGGAACAAGGAGGAAAGGAATGAAGAGGAATAAAATAATAGGAACACTTGTTCCATGTTGTTCCTCCCTGGATTTGATAAGGAATGATTTTGTTCTTTGATTCTTTAAATTAAAAGGAATGAGAAGAAATATTGAAGAAAAGTTATTCCTTATAAATGGTGTCAAATTTATGGAATGAAAAGGAATTAACTATTATGATTCCTTACAAATGGTGTCAAGTTTAAGGAATAAAGAAAAATTAACAATTCCCACACATTCCTTTGGTCACCAGTCAAAGCCTTAATATGAACAAACACCATTATTGATACCGGCTTTCCGAACAAAAGCCTTAGAGTATCCCCATTATTGAACCCCCTTATGGGGTTCATAGGAATTTTTTATTATTTTTTTGGTGGGACCGTGAACAGTGATGAACCCGGATTAATTATGCGCTTCCATTAGTGAACCCGAAATCTGGGTTCTTAGGAATAAAATAATAATTCTTTAAAAAAAAATTTAATACAAAATGAATATTGAAAAAAAAAAAATTGGGAATTGATTTTAAAAGGTTTTATTGAATACATTGAGAATACATTAATGTTTAAAACAAGTTATTGGATATATAGAGAAATTGGAAACATACAATCATTATTCATCTTGATTACCAAATTTCTGCCACACATTTTCAACCAAATCTGCTTTCAAACGAGCATGTATTTGTGAATCCCGAATTTGGTTCCGAGTGCTAAGCATATTACCGATATACAAACTTGTTGTCCTTTCCACTTGGGAACTTCTGCTTGACTCTCCTGCCTCGAACTCAGATGTATCATACAGTGTGTATGAGTGTCATTTGTCCTCTACTATCATATTGTGGAGTATGATACAAGTTCTTATAATATTTCCCAACTTTTCCTTGCTCCATAGTAGACCCGGGTTTTTAACTATTGCAAACCGTGCTTACAATACTCCAAAAGCCCGCTCGACATCTTTCGTGGTGGATTCTTGACGTTCAGCAAAAATCTCGGCTTTAGGAACTTGAGGAAGTGGGATGGATTGAATAAATGTTGACCATTTCGGATAAATTCCTTCGGTAAGGTAGTAGGCCATGCGATAATTGTGGTTGTTAACCTTGAAATTCACTTTAGGAGCTCGGCCTTGTAAAAGGTCATCAAAAATCGGTGACCGATCAAGAACATTAATATCGTTGAGGGTACGTGGTAATCCGAAAAAACGTGCCAAATCCAAAGATCATGTGATGTGACGGCCTCTAAGACAATTGTCGGTTTTGCTGAACCACTGGTGTATTGGCCTCTCCAAGCCGTTGGGCAGTTTTTCCACTCCCAATGCATACAGTCGATGCTGCCTATCATCCCTGGAAACCCCCGTACCTCGCCAACATCGAGTAATCGTTGAAGATCATCCGCTGTAGGTCTTCTCAGGTACTCATCTCCAAACAATTGTATTATCCCATTAGTCAAATGTTCCAAACATAAAAGTGCGGTACTTTTAGCTAGGCGAAGATATTCGTCATACGTATCTCCCGATTGTCCATATGCGAGCATACGTATAGCTGAAGTACTTTTTTGAAGTGCAGAAAGACCGTACCTTCCATGAGCATTTCTTCTTCGCTTAAAGTATGGAACTTCATTACTTAGGCGATCGACAATTCGAAGGAACAATGGCTTGTTCATACGAAAACGCCTTCTAAACATTTGTGGTGGGTAAGTAGGTTGTTCGATGAAATAATCGTTCCATAGTTGATGGTGTCCTTGTTCCCGATGCCTTTCGATATAAGCTCGTCGCTTGGGCATGTTGGCTTGAACATTAACAACCGATTCGTATAGTTCATCAACTTGTTCGTCGAACAATTCTTTGAACTCTTCGCTTAACCTTTCATCAACTTCATCTGACGATGAGGAAGACATTGTTTGATATAATCCTGTAGAGAATACATTGTACTTATTATTAGATTTTTTTAAAAAGAACAGAGATATAGTGATCAAATTAGGTTGTTGTTGTTCCTTATAACTAATAATTTTTTTTTAAAAAACGAGTACATTTTTTTTAAAAAAAAACGGACACAATGTTTTTTTTTTTTTTAAAAACAGAGTTATGGTGATCAAATTTGGTTTTTTTTTTCCTTATAATTATAATTTCTTTTTTTTTAAAATGAGTACATTTGTTTTTAAAAAACAGACACAATGTTTTTTTAAAAAAAAACAGTTATAGTGATCAAATTTGGTTGTTGTTGTTCCTTATAATTATATTTTTTTTTTTAAAAAAAACGAGTACATTATTTTTTTAAAAACAGACACAATGTTTTTATAAGAAAAACAGAGTTATAGTGATCAAATTTGGTTGTTGTTGTTGTTGCTTCTGATTATAATTTTTATTTTAAAAAACCAAGTACATTGTTTTAAAAAAAAACAGACATAATGTTTTAAAAAAAAAAACAGAGAGATAGAGAGCAAAACTTGGTTTGGTTTGTTTGTTTTGGCTGAGAGAGAGTGTTGGAGTTGTTGGTTTGGCCGAGAGAGAGTGTAGGAGTTGTTGGTTTGGTCTTGATGTATAACTTGGTTTTTAGTCTTGTTGGTCGTTTGGTCTACATGTTGGCTTGGCCTTGTGAGAGTGTAAACGAGATGGTCTGAGATTTGTGTTTGTTTGTAACGAGATAAAGAAAGAATGCTCAAGAGAGAAAGAATGAATTCGAGAGAGTAGCAGAGATGGTCTGTGATGCTCACTTGAGAACGCAACAGAAGCCATATATTTATATAGTGCAACATACATAATTCCATGTAGAATGATACAAAATTCTACAGCCCGTGACCTGTTACTACAACCCGTGAACTGCTACAACAAGATCAGAAACAAACAAGTGTAGTATGTTACAAAAAACTACACTTTCCGTAACACAAAGTTGAAACAAGAAGACAACCAAGTGTAGTATGGTACAAAACACTACACTTTCCGTGACACAAAGCTTAAACCCGTGACCTGCAGCACCCAACCTCCTCCTGCTACTAAAACCCGTGACCTGCAACAAACAGAACCCAACAATTAGCAAATACAAACAGAACCAAACAATGACCAAATATAAAACAACCCAACTACTATAAACAACCAAGATATGTATCCTAAACAGAGAAGTAAGATAAAGCAAATATAAAAAACCGAGTTAGCTTAACAACCAAGATAATAATCCTACTAAACAGAGAACCAAGATTATACTAACCAACTCAAACCATTTCACTCATGAGTTTGTTTTTCAAAGACTCCTCGACCTCAGATAACGGTTCCTTTTTAGCAAGTAGTCGTTCCACTAGTCTACGTTTGGAAATATTATCTTTGACCATCAGGAGAGTCTCTAATGATCAAAAGCTGCTTCCTTGCCATGCTTCTTGCGTTTGGCCGCTTTGGCAGCCTTTACACCAGCTGGCCTAACCTCCTCCGCGTTAGGATCCACGTCAACGTCCACAGTTTCCTTCCTCTTCTCCTTCCCAGCTTGTGAGGGAAACGATGTTGAGCGCCACTTATGTTCGAACCTGAGTGCCCTCCACGCGTGTTCGAGGATGAACCTTGAACCGTGGTCATTTGTGAAGATGGTATGAGCTGCCTCGATGAGATCATCTTCGTTTCTGCCACTTCCGTGCTCCTTCACAGTCGCGTCGTAACAACCAACAAACTTCAACACCTGCTCATTCAGCCTTCCCCACCTCTGCTTACATTGACTCTGCTCTCTAGGAGCAGAGCCACTGAGCTGAGTGCTTTCGTTGAAATACGCCTCTATCCTTTTCCAAAAGGCTCTTCCCTTCTGCTCGTTACTAACTATCGGATCCTTGCTGGTGTTTAACCAGGCACTGATCAGCACAAGGTCCTCTCTTACACTCCACTTCCTCCTTTTGAGTGGTTTCACTGACCCGGGGGAATTGTTACTTGCCTCACCAGACTCTAGATCTATTGTTTGACTGCTTTGTGAAGCCAAAAGGTTCACAAAGCAGGGAGAATTATGGGAAAATGGATCCATGTTTGGTTTTTGGTTTAGGTTTTCAGGTTTTAGGTTTAGGTTTTGTAAATTTTTTGAGTAGCTTTGATATGTTTTTAAACTAGATTTCCGTTTCAGGACGAAGAATTAATCTTCCCTTGACTTACCAAGCATTCATGACTAACGTACCAAAAAAATTTAACACCATTACTCCTAGTACTAGGACAGCAGTAGACATCAAATCACTCAATTCAGGTTTTATGTTTAAGGCTATCACCGCAACCACCAACTACTATTTTTAAAGTTCTAGTTATAGTTTAAAGTTTTAGTTTGTTAATTAAGTACACATGAACGAACTACTATTTTTAAAAAGTTTTAGTTATAGTTTAAAAGTTTTAGTTTGTTAATTAAGTACACAAGAACATAACTACTATTTTTAAAAAGTTCTACTTATAGTTTAAAAGTTTTAGTTTGTTAATTAAGTACACATGAACTGAACTACTATTTTTAAAAGTTCTAGTTATAGTTTAACACTTTAGATCGTTAGTTAAGTACACATGAACCGAACAAGTTTTTTTAAACAAG